ACGTGATGGTGGTGGTGGTGATGGTGGTGATGGTGGTACGTGATGATGGTGGTGGTACGTGATGATGGTGATGGTGGTGATGGTACGTGATGGTGGTGGTGATGGTGGTGGTACGTGATGATGGTGGTACGTGATGGTGATGATGGTGGTACGTGATGGTGATGATGGTGGTACGTGATGATGGTGGTGGTACGTGATGATGATGTTGGTACCTCCATGAAGTACATGTCCCCGTCCGTGTCTGTCCCAGAATGCACCACAAACGTCTGCTTCTTCAGCTGACGGCTAGTGATGGTGGTGATGGTGGTGATGATGGTACGTGATAATGATGTTGGTGGTACGTGATGTTGGTACCTCCATGAAGTACATGTCCCCGTCCGTGTCTGTCCCAGCATGCACCACAAATGTCTGCTTCTTCAGCTGACGGCTAGTGATGGTGGTGATGGTGGTGATGATGGTACGTGATAATGATGTTGGTGGTACGTGATGTTGGTACCTCCATGAAGTACATGTCCCCGTCCGTGTCTGTCCCAGAATGCACCACAAACGTCTGCTTCTTCAGCTGACGGCTGGGTCGTTGTTTCAGTCGCACGCAGCGCGAACTCTGCAACACAAACACGGCGACTACCTCATCAACTACCTCATCAACTACCTCATCAACTACCTCATCAACTACCTCATTAACTACCTCCTCAACTACCTCGTCAACTACCTCATCAACTACCTCATCAACTACCTAACTACCACGGTGACTACCTCATTAACTACCTCGTTAACTACCTCGTCAACTACCTCATCAACTACTTCAACTACCTCATCAACTACCTCATCAACTACCTCGTCAACTACCTCATCAACTACCTCATCAACTACCTAACTACCTCATCAACTACCTCGTCAACTACCTCATCAACTACCTCATCAACTACCTAACTACCTCGTCAACTACCTCATCAACTACCTCATTAACTACCTAACTACCTCATCAACTACCTCATCAACTACCTCGTCAACTACCTCCTCAGCTACCTCATCAACTACCTCGTTAACTACCTCATTAACTACCTCATTAACTACCTCATTAACTACCTCATCAACTACCTCATTAACTACCTCATCAACTACCTCAACTACCACGGTGACTACCTCATCAACTACCTCATCAACTACCTCATCAACTACCTCGTTAACTACCTCCTCAGCTACCTCATCAACTACCTCGTTAACTACCTCATTAACTACCTCATCAACTACCTCATCAACTACCTCATTAACTACCTCATCAACTACCTCAACTACCACGGTGACTACCTCATCAACTACCTCATTAACTACCTCATCAACTACCTCGTTAACTACCTCATCAACTACCTCGTCAACTACCTCATCAACTACCTCATTAACTACCTCATTAACTACCTCCTCAACTACCTCGTTAACTACCTCATCAACAACCTCATTAACTACCTAACTACCTCATCAACTACCTCGTCAACTACCTCATCAACTACCTCATCAACAACCTCATTAACTACCTAACTACCTCATCAACTACCTCATCAACTACCTCATTAACTACCTCATTAACTACCTGACTACCTCATTAACTACCTCATTAACTACCTCATTAACTACCTCAACTACCACGGTGACTACCTCATCAACTACCTCCTCAACTACCACAGTGACTACCTCATTAACTACCTCATCAACTACCTCCTCAACTACCTCGTCAACTACCTCATCAACTACCTCATTAACTAAACTACCTCATCAACTACTTCAACTACCTCGTTAACTACCTCATCAACTACCTCGTTAACTACCTCCTCAGCTACCTCATCAACTACCTCGTCAACTACCTCATCAACTACCTCATTAACTAAACTACCTCATCAACTACTTCAACTACCTCGTTAACTACCTCCTTAACTACCTCCTCAACTACCACGGTGACTACCTCATCAACTACCTCGTTAACTACCTCATTAACTACCTCCTCAACTACCACGGTGACTACCTCATCAACTACCTCGTTAACTACCTCATTAACTACCTCCTCAACTACCACGGTGACTACCTCATTAACTACCTCCTCAACTACCACGGTGACTACCTCATTAACTACCTCATCAACTACCTCATCAACTACCTCATCAACTAGCTAACTACCTAATTAACTACCTCATTAACTACCTCATCAACTACCTCCTCAACTACCTAACTACCACGGCGACTACCTCATCAACTACCTCATCAACTACCTCATCAACTACCTCAACTACCACGGTGACTACCTCATCAACCACCTCATTAACTACCTCATCAACTACCTCATCAACTACCTCGTTAACTACCTCATTAACTACCTCATTAACTACCACGTTAACTACCTCAACTACCACGGTGACTACCTCATCAACCACCTCATTTACTACCTCATCAACTACCACATCAACTACCTCATCAACTACCTCGTTAACTACCTCATTAACTACCT